CTTGATCCAGTTTGCTAAAAGATAAGATACTATATATGTTGAAAATAAAAGTACTCTTTCTGGTAAAAATTTTGTATAGGTACAGGATAAAAAAAAAAATTAATAATAAACACCATTGTAAAACCACTAGACCCCCACTCCTCTCAGAATCTAAAAAAAAATGCTATGATATAATAGAGAATTTTGTTTTTATTCATTATATAATGTTAATAAGTACCAAGTATCCGATGCAGTCTATGAAAAACGAAACTAAATATTTTACGGTCGAATTTTGTGTGAATCTTCTTAAATTAATTACACAATAAAAATAATAAAATGTGATCGATTACAATTTGTGAACGTAATAATATCATCGATTGTGGTTGCGTTATCAACTTATACAGTTATAATACAGTTTTAATAGTTCTACCCTTATAAATATATTTTTCCCTCAGATATTAGGGAAGTCTCGTTCCCATTCCATCCCATGCACGATTTATATCCACGGCAACAGAGTTACTATTTATGTACTTAAAAAATGTATTAATATACTTATATATACCTACATAGAATATAGATAAATATATGCTTAAATGCCTTAAAATAATACCATGTTATAAAAAAATGGAAGCAAATAAATAATAACTTTTTGAAAGTTATTTGAAGAAATAAAGTATTTCATAACTTTTTAATGGTCTACTTAATTTTTAACGAACTCTGTAGAAACATCGGAGTACCTTTTGGCAGTTTTCTTACCTTCTCTGTGTTTAAAATCAAATGTCAAAAATAAAATACAATCAATAATGTCATAACACTTATATACATTTTACAGGTACACTTTATAACTCAAAAAGCCAAAATTATATTAATTATATTTTCACAAGCTTTTACCAGCTATAGTACTTTGCACTTTCGTAGTATATCTAATATATCATATATAGGCCAATTTGATCCGTCATTACACTCAGTACCTAGATTCGTTTGCATCGCCCATCATTGCTGCACAGACTTCTATACTACACTAGATAAGGAACTATCCTGTACAATTTACATTTTTACGAGTGAAGCTCAGATGTGAACGGCCGCCATTTTGTTGGTTGGCAAAACATTTCATTTATTATACAAAATGTATTAGGAATAATATTTTTTTTAATGGTCAAATGAAATGGAGGACTTATATAAAATATTATTTTTTTTTTAAACTACATGTTTAGAAAAAATAAAACACGATACAAAATAAACCATAATATCATATAATTATTTATCATATGAAATACCATACAATTGCCAACCGACCTTGAAGCTTCAATTCATGACTGGAATTCGCTATCTAGTAATATTTAGAAATCTGTTAATAGTATTGCTGGCATAGTGGCATATGTACTTATTTTAGGGGCATGTTTGATGCCTGTTTTCGACCTGCAAAATCGTAAGTACCTTCCCTTTTCGGCCTATTTACTTTTCATCCAAATTTAAAAAAGGTGGATTCCTTTTCCGACCAAACCACAAAGTTTAATATCCACTTTCTGTTATAAATATCGACAATTATTACAAATATACCTAAGTTATATAAAATGTTTATAGGTAGGTAATATATAAATTATTAAAAATATTAGTATTATTAGTATTATTAATAATATACAATCGTTGTCAATAGTTTTGACATATTTCAAAAATTTGACAGCAAATTCTCATAAGTACAATGATTTTCATATTTTGCTGTTATTCGAAAACTTTTAACCGTGGAACTTGATATTTTCATCAATAAATTGTTTGTTTTATCATTTTCTATACGTGATACCTAAGTGATAACATTTTCAAAATATTTTTTTTTTTTAGTTTTTCATTCTTTAAATTCCAATAACATTTTATTCGTTTGGTCAAAAATCTTGAAAATTTAATACAAGGTTCCTTATTATAAATTGTTATAATAGCAGTTAATAAATATTAAAGATCCAGAGGCTAGTTTAAAGTTCAAATGTTGTCAACATTTATCAAAATATCGAACATTTTCAAGTTTATTGTACCCACAGATATAAAATACTAGATAGCTAACTTGTCTAAATTAGGGTAATCGATGTTGAAGTTAGCCACCATATGCGTGTTACCTACTTAGTAATATCATAGGCTGACAGACAGTCTTCGCTCAGAAACGTTTTTCGTACCTATACAATGATTTTATATCATTGAATTCAAATTTAACACCATCCATTTCAGTGACCCATTTGTGACCTACCTTAAAGCAGAGCGACACCCACTTACCCGATTTCTTATATTAGTTAGTTATTATTATTATTTCTGTAGAAACATTCAACATATTAATATATCAATTATAGGTAATACTAATAATTTATTACACACGTAAGTGAAAATGAAAATTTTTTTTCCCAAAAATATGAAATGTGTTATAATTTTACCATAGTAGGTAGATTGTTGGAAATAGGAATAAAAACCTATTTAAAAAAAAAAAATGTTGGCGGAAACTTTACACTCCCCCTATCATACTAGGTACCTATCTACCTACCCTGTTCGGCTGTATACATATATAATCAATAGGCAAACATTAGAAACACTTATTTTCTGACTTCTGGCTGATCTTATTCCCGATTGTTAAATAGTAAATACCTCCATAATAATAATATTTTACGAATAAGAAATGTTACATTTTGATAAATTAATGTTTATTGAAATCATCTCACTTAAATTATTTTTGATCAATAATATTTAAAGTATTTTTTTTTTGCTTAATAGTTGCGTAGTCGAGATTATAGATAACATTAAAAAAGTCATAAGTAATAGGTATTATCTATGGTTGGAATGTTGTTATATTATATTATTCATATAAATTGAATTTATTGACTGTATCACGAACATTTGACGATTTTTACATTTATTGTAATTAAGTTTAATAAAATTTTAAATATTTCAAATCTTCGTGATACCACTCTGAATATTATATACCTACGAATATACTATTTGTGACGTAAAGTGCAAACACTTTTTGTTTATTGTTTAATCATTTTCGATGAGACTTTTGTGCTTATAAACTTATAATATTACTAACAATACGGTATCAAAAATAAAACAAATGGTCTAATGGCAAAGTTGAAACTATATTTGTAGTCAATAAACTTACTTTTAGCCAACTATATATCAATATCAATTTATAGCTTTAACACTTTAAAGTTTAAACCGCAGACGGAATGTCTAATATATATATTATATTATATTAAATGTCAAATTTCGGTTCAAATGTCCAATTCATATTTTGATAAGAATATATTTTTATAATAGTAATAAAATAAGCTGAACTAAACTGTACAAAAATTACAATAAAAGTTTTTAAGTTTGGAATACGATTAAAATGTATATATTTTATTTCAACTTTTGGATATCAGTATAATATTGAACTGGGAAACTAATTGAGTTTATTCACAGAATATTTTTAATATTATTGACAATAATTGTTACCTATACTATCTTTAGTGATGATATACAAAAAGAAGAAAAGCAACACATTGGTAATATTAAATTTTGAAACCGACATAGGGCAATAGTTTCTCGGAGTCTATTACAGTACCTATCTGCCTGCACCTTCACGAATAATGTCGAGATCGTTTGAAATATGGAGTTCATTTAAATACAACTTATAAATTGGTAACATTTAGGTAACTGTATAGTTTTCTTAAATTATTACATATTTTATTATTAACTTCCCCATTGTTGACATTTTAGAATGAAAGATACTATACAAAAATTAAAAGTCCACGAGGAAGAAAAGTATTATTTAGAATTAAAAATGTCGAGGCTGGTAAATAGTTACTAGATTAGTCAATATTATATTAATATTTTATGAAATATTAAAGTTTGTTTTGATTATGACAACTATTTTCTGAAGATAAAACATAACATATACAAGTTGTACTATTGAGTTGAACGATTATAGATATATAATTGTATAATAGGTAGGTACCTATATGTAAATACTAAATATATGTAATCTATTTTTTATATTATGCTACCATGTCATGTTTAGCTACCCACACGGGTAGACTAGGTATCTACGAAAAATGGGAATATGCTTAAAATTATGTATAGGTGCATAAACTATCTAAATAATAATGATGATGTGGCTTGGCGCGGCGGCTGCAATCAGTCTCGCAACGTGACTGAGAGTAAGTAACGGTCGCTGCTACTATAGTATAGCCATCGTAAGAACGCTACTCGTTCGCGCATCCAAATGACCGAGCTCCGCAGTTTCGTACCCAAGTTTCTCCCACTCTACCATCTAGTCGCCGCCGTAGATAGGCAGTAGTGGCAGCGACAGTAGCGATGGCGCGACAGTGGCGGCGGCCAGAGTTGACGGCGGCCAGCGTTCGGGAAGGTTTAGTGGTGGGAATGCGCGAGATCGGATGAATTTTGGTCGCCGCCCAGTAGCGTTCTTACGATGGCTATACTATAGTTCCCGGATGGGTAACCGCCTGGGTTTCTTAGTGCGCAAAAACCTTGCCACACATTCACGTGTTACCAAACGTACCAACCGTTCCAACCTTACCGTATTAACCCTACTAACCTTACAGGCTAATGACATCAGTCGTCGAAGCCGATAAACAAAAAAAAAAAAAAATAATAAAGTATAAATACATATCTCTACTAATTATTACCCATATAATTATTAGGTATACAAATAATATACTTTTAGAGACGATAATGATAATAATAATGAACAACAAAAAACAAACAATAATTAATGCGTAGTGCGTAAGCAGAGTAAATGTTGTAGGTATACACAACTAATACGAGAACAATCAACGAATCCCCACACCGTTATATTATTTATATGCGATAAAAAAATTGAGTAAGCGAAAAAATTCTCGGTATACGAAGAACCATAGTACTTGGATACCATATGCACTTGATAAAATTATACTATTATTATGTGTGTTTCAAAAAAAAAATGTTTTCTGGTGAAATATCCAACTCCATGATCGGCGATCCAGGTGGCGTCTGCATCCAAGTGTCTACGGTGCCTGCCCGACAGCTATTGTCGAGGTGGGCGGTCTCTTGTTGACGCCAAAAGTCTCACCACTTTCTTTTATTTTTTTCCTGTTCTGTCCGATTTTCTCCGCCGCCGCCGTCGTCGGACTGCATCGCATCGGTACCGTATTCGAGCACGGGTCGTCGGGGTATTCGTCTCGGATATGCAGCGGTTCGATTCTCGTGCTGACGCCCAGACACCCGATGTCGCCGATCAGGAAGTCGATATAATTGCTCTCCATTGACCACTGGTAACCCTGGAAACCCGTGGTCACCATCAACGGTATCCTGGACCTTCGACCGCGCTGTACGGACCTGCGGGCAGTGTGCGCACAAGCTGTATAATATTATGTATAGCAGCAACATTATACAATATTGAATATATACATATATATTATACATATTAGAGGAAATCGGGTACTATACTGCTGTGGAAGGTCGAAAGGGGGCCAAAGTAGACTGCAGTTTCCTCAACTGACTACTTAAAATGGAATAATCAGAATTCGTTATTTTTAAAAAATGGGGGTTGAGCATTCATGGTGGTCAACCTGTAAGTATATATGTTTAACTATTTTTCAGCTCACCACGACAATATATTTTAGTTTGTCTGCAGATCGTTGAGCAACAGCCACCTCTTTTGTTTGGTAAATACTAAATAGATAATACCATTGATTATAAATACAAATATTTACACGGGCGGAATCCGCTAATTTATGATTTGGCGGAAAAGGGAAAGGTAGGAATAGATATTCACTTTTGGCGGAAACTAGCAACTTTTAGATATCAACTATATTATAATTGTATTATATGGCATACCCGTGTACATGATTCCCACATCCATCGAATTCGATAGACAGCAGAGATTCAACTATCTATACATCCATTATAATAAGGTCACTGAATAAATAAATAAGTAAATATAAATAGCTTTGCGTTGATATATCTGTGATAAAGAGAGAGAGAGAGAGAGAGAGAGAGAGAGAGAGAGGGAGAGAGTAAAATATATGGAGGACATTTTAAGAGTAAAGGGCAAATCAAACGTCAACAACTTTATTCATTATTAATGGGTGACAAGCGTGTTGATGGATACACAGAAGCGTAGTAACTTCACGGATAGCCACGGTAAACGTTAGAATCGTATTTAAAAGAGATGTTCACATTTTTAGTACCTATGTGGCTTATAATCAAAAAGTTCTCCACTATAAGCTCCGGTCTGATTGCGAGGAAACCGTTTCATCGATTTTTTTCTTTGCAAATGGTACCTACTTACTGCCATTTAAGAGGACGCCATACCTGCATGCGTTGACTTGTCTCAGTTCTTTTAACGAATAACATAGAAAATTGTACGTTCTGAAATGTGAATAATTCATTTTACTCTGTTATGTTTTATTTTAGAGTGAACTTACCTGTTATCAAATTCATGAGAAATAATATTATCTAGTCGACGACGTAGGATTTTTTTATACGGTAATCTTAAAGCAAGTTATGAGCATTTTAAAACTGTAAATACTAAATTGTAATAGCTTTAAAATTAAACATAACAGAGTTAAATTAATTATTCAGAACGTACAATTTGCTATGCTATGCGTTTGTAAGGCGGAGACAACGGAGCGGGTATGGCGTCCTCTTATTAAAGGATTCATATCATATTATGCAGTGTTATAATTACAGTAAATCTTACATAATAATTAATGATATTATACTCTTGCAGTCTTGATGAGACTAAATTGAAATAAATATTTTTATACATCAAATATTCAAAAGTATAAATATTGACGTATAGGTACCTACATAAATCAAGATATTATAGCATTATTATATAGGAAATACTCGTTTTTAATTTAAAATGCTAAAGAATCAAAAAAAAAAGTATCACAGGTAAAATACATACCTAAGTATAAAGTATAATAAGTACCTAGGTATGTATAATTGTTGTAATAATATATTTAAGAGTATTCACATTATTTTATATGAACTAATAAATAATAATATTTGTGTAAATCGAAAAAATAGGTTATTAATTGTATGCTTTGTAGGTTAATATTTCCATTATTTCGATCGTATATTTAAACCTAATTAATTTGCATTTTATGTCCTATAAAGAACAATGGGTAGGTACAAATTAATGTCGGAGTATTTGACACTTATTAACTAGGTTTCAACATTTGTCGCTACAGAATTATTATTTAACCACTTTTCATTACAATAGCACACTGGGACTCTACATTCGATATCGTCCTATGAAAAATAAAGTTAAACTAGAACGGCAGCCTGCCTAATAAATTGTATTGATAGAAACTACCTATATCCATTTAAAAAAAAAGCACACACATATTTAAAAATAAATCTGCTAAAATATAATATTAACAATTATTGCAAATATGAAATAGATTACTGGATATTATTGAGATTATTATTACAATATTACTTATGATTAATTATGTAGATACAAAATGACGTGGTCAAGTTTAAAACTAATACGGACCCCTACACTATTTCCAGGGCAAAGTATTTATGTACCTAATCGCCAGATCACCTGGACTACATACAATTTATGTGTTTTATGATTTGTTCTACTTTATCACATAGGTAATAATGCGCCAATAAGTTTATGATAAAATTATATTTTTCTTGCTTTTTTATAACTTATACATTTTTCAAAGCTATTTTCAAATGTAATACAATAACATAACATTTAATTTGAGTCGATATTTTCGAATAAAATTTACATTAAAAATTAACATTAACAAGGTTAAGGTATTATTGTTTCTAATAATTAAATTATTATTATTCAATTAATTATAACTATTATTATTATAGTAATTATATTATATTGATGAGAATTTTTTACAATTTACCCTAGTGGGTGCCTTTTTTGTACTATTTTAAAATTTAAATATTATATATTTATACGATTACCCGATGTATAATTTAACGAAATCATGTAAATAATAAAATGCAATACGTAATAGGTAAGGTTTAGTGGCTAGTAATAATTATATTATGTGTTCAAAATGAATAGATAACTATATACCTTTTTTTATACGTTATTTTTCATTGTATGATTTTGAAATTAGGTAATACAATTCAGTGGCGTGTAGAACATTTTTTGTGTGTGAGGCCCAATGCAAATTAATTTTTACTACCACCGCCACCACACTACTATTTGTTAACATTTAATTCTCTATTCTGACGAGTCAATCTCATATTATTCTCATGGCCTCACATCAGTAAACCCCACCACCCCCCACTCATTTATGTTGAGGCACAGGCCTCAAAAAATTATCTTCACCACGCCACCGTAATACATTATTGGATTTTTATCTTTCATGGTAAATTAATATTCTTATGTTTTGTTGCGAGTTTTAACTGTATCTGACAGCCGTCTACTTCAATAGTTTGTAGGAAGCATAATTCAAAGCTTAAAGTTATTACAATTATTTTGAAAATATATTCTGTGCTCAAAATACAAATTATTTTAGTAGCGACGTAGCGTCTTATTTAAAGTATAATATATTTATATTTATTTATTGATTTTTTTTACGATTTCGATTCTAGATTCTACGGAGTTAAATAAAAGTAAGAATATAAATAGTAAACATTTATTAGGTACGATATGTCTCCAATAGGGGCTGTATTTCTCAAATCGTTTAAAATTATTGATGTAAATAACTATAGATAAACAGTGATATAAGTGCAAGTATTGTCATTTATGTACTTAAATGAAAACTCTATCAGTTATTATAAATCAAACTAATTCAACCTAAAAATTGTTAAAATTGTTATTTTGGTTGTGTGAAAATTACGATTTAGCGAGTCTATCTCTTTTGGCAGTAAGAATACATCACTAGGCCGTAGGTAAACAAACTAAATGTCACACAATAAAAAAGATAGGAAATTTTCACAGGAAATACTCTCACGGCCTGTAAAATAGTCGAATTTCGTTATATTTTTTTTTATTTAAAAGGAGAATTTTTTTTCAAATTGGATTAAAGGGCAAATTTTCAGTTTTCTTTTAATAGTGGTGGAAAAATATGTTTGAAAAAGAACAAATATGTGTATTATTCAAATACAAATTTTAGCTTCTATAATTATAATTTTGAAAATCGGACTTTGATCTGACATGCAAAATGTTCTCTTATTTTAAATAAAAAAAGTTAACAAAATCCAACTATTTTACATGTCTACTATTTTCCTGCAAGACATGTTTCTGTACTAAAAAACGCATCGGTTCGTTAATCGAAAATTATAAATTATACACAAAAAGAGAGAAAAACATAATTAAATTATATTATATTAATATTTTATGTAAAATTGTAAAATTATTGATGTAACGTAGTATTATAGAAAAATAAAAACGTATCATTGCGGTATTAGGCCTTTGAACGTCAAGCACATATAAGCGCCCCTTTATGGGACTCAGAATTTGGCGCCCGCAGAAGTTGATCCCTTGAGCCTCCAATAAAAACATCACTGATATTAGAGATACTATTATGCATAGAGGTACATTGGGGATATAAAACGTTTTATAGAATACACAGGTCATAACATAATATTTTTAAGCATATATAATAAGATATAAAACCATTGTTTTATTTATATGTCAAGTAAAACATACTGTATAAACAATAGTACGACAATAGCTTATTATTATAGCATACATAGGTCCCTAGATTGTTAAAACCATACTTTGGTACTATTATCAGATTATTTGTAGACTGTAGTGTTTGTATATTTTGGGTTATCATTGTCATAGGCGTGTCCAGACCTCACCCGCAGGTCGTGCACAACAGTGGCATATTCAGGGGAGGAGTTACTGTATCCCTCCACCAAAAAAAAAATTAGACTAAGGTTTGGGAATAAGACCCCCAAATTTTGAAACAAGCTTTATCATTTGATAATAATTAAATCAGTTTTACTTTTTTTTATTTGGAATAAAAAACAATATTCCTTTAATCAGATAAATAACCCAGGGCAGGTTATATGAAATTGTATTTAGTAATTTTAAAATGTAATCTTAATAACAATACTAATAATACTTTTTGCAAATGTTTATTTTTAAGTGATGGAAATCAAAAAACTTAATACGAAATCAGAAACTTAGAAAAAAAAGTTTGTATTATGCACTACAATTTATATTGTACCCACCTATAGACACGCCTATGTTTATTGCGTCTATTATGTTAAAGAAAAAAAAATCATCCTGTTTACTCTTGTATACACGCGATTGACAATATCATAATATAATAATTATAATGAAATATAGCTGCTGCAGAGGTATCGACGGTATCGTAGGGCTACAACTACAGTAAAATGTTAAACCTTTGAGCTCAATTGTACAGTGTAAAACACCGTCGTTACACACGACATATCGCATTATACTATACAGCATACACTATATACAGTACCTACTAACTATAAAACAGCACATTATATTATAGCCGTGCACTGCAGTGGATAAAGCCGGGTTTACACGGGATGTGAGCCACATGTCGGGCTCATATTATATATACAAACGCGGCGGCGGTTCATGAATTAGTCGCCGTTGTTGTATATTATCAAACGGTGTTTGATATTTCAGTCGTGAAACAGTCGTATGGACCAGCTATATGTGTGTACACGATATGTATATATCATATTATATATATCTCGCGATAACGATCCATGCGCACACACACACACAATACACGAGCGAAGTATTTGACGTTCAAAAGTTTTTATATTTCACCCACAAAGTATATTATTTTACGAACTCGGTAAAATATAATAATATTATTAACATTGAAATAACAATTATTGCAGACGCTGCAGTTGTCGTTAGTGATATTATTTTTGGAACACACAATTCCGGGGCTGGCTATTATTTTTAATACTGACGACGGAATGAAAAAGACGACATCGTTTTCGAGAAGCTTTATAGTGTAAACATTATACTCTGTCGGTGGAAAGTTTTCAAAACCGAACACGCATAAAACACACGAGTTCAATATATTATATTCCAATCATGAACCCCTATATTTGCCCACCCCGTATCCTCGTCAAGATTACGATATATATATTTTATTCGCAATGCGCGCAAGGAATATAATATTTAAACAACATCTATTATTATAGTCACTATAATAATAATATAATATATAATATAGGTAGGTACTTATTTTATTACAACCGTTGTTCGGTTGTTGTGATTTTTCTTATCTGCCGAAAAGTGAACATCTTGTGTATATTTATGAGCAATACTATAGGAATAATCTAAATCTACAGCTGATGTCAGATGTCCGCCATATATATCTGGTTTTAATAACCAACGATTGCAGTTATTCGATATAAAAGGGTTTCAGTATTTTTTTTACTATCAAACACGTCATAATATATCATATTTGTTTTACAATATAATTTAATACTTAACAGGCCGATAAGACGGAAAATGGATTTTTTTCTCGTGTAATCCGGTGGTTTACTATAGTATAATAATATAACCGATGATACCAGATTTTTGATGTTACGTAAAAATTAATTTGAAAATCCACAAACAACAAAGTTTTGGTGACTTCTATATATAATACAATGAATATATGTGTAGATATTATGGTATAGGTAGAAATATTACGTTCGTGCAGCGTAGGTGGTTAATCAGTAGTCGGTATCGTTTACACGTCGGCAGGAGCTAACTGACACCGGTGATCAACGATTTATTACACGTATAGGTGGTATATCGTAGATATATATAATATATGCAACACCTCATTATCGGATAAAATGACCCGCGATGAAGATAGAGGCGGGAAAATAGAACCTACGGGGAAAAACTAGTCGTTAGAATGGATATAAGTAAAGTGCTTAAATGACCTGTCTGTATTTTTTTTCTACGTCGAAAAACTATATAACATTGGGTCCGACATCGGTTTTTAAAGGGAAAAAAATACATCCGATATCCAATATACCGACCGTCGGCTTTCATTTAATAACGGGTCCTCTAAATAAAAAAAGGGTTTTTCGTCTCTCTCTCTCTCTCTCTAAAAAAATAACCGAAGATGTATAATGCGTTTTTTGAACACTGAACCGAGTAAAGTAAACTCAATACATTGGTTCGCGTGCGTGCGTGTGCGTGCGCAGGGAACCGCTGGTAATAGACGATAAGGCTTCTCATAAAATCGACGAGGCCCATATATTTCGATTCTCGTACCACATATGATCTTATTATATTGTATACTTGCGGATAACACGAGTATTGGCCCGACTATAGTGATTGATGAATTAGGACAATTGGATTGAGTGTGATATGATGACTCTATACTAATCTAATACTCAATTATACCATCACCAAACTTATCACAAGTTCCAGAACGTTTAAATAGCATTCTCATTTCCAATTATACTCATCCCTTTACGGATTTACCTATGCATTTATACAAATTCTGAATTCAAATTCAAATTGTCCTATATAACGCGACTAACAAAATCATTTGCTCATAAAAATTCACAGTGAAATGGGTTGTTACAAATGAAAATAAAACGTTTTTCTATAGCATTAAATGTGTCACAAAAATCTGATTGTTTGAAATTATTATTAAATAGTTGAGAATTCTGTAAATCAGAATATAATTCGTCCAACGACTAGATTAAAAATATAAAATGAAAGGCGAATGAAAAGGTCGTCTCACTCGGTACTATAGTGTGTGTATAGCGCGTACCACGAACGTGACGATTATTGTTTTTTCATCTAAATATTTACCTAAAGTTTTCGTGCCGGAACAGCTTGTTGACGTCCCAGCTGAGAATTTCGCCGGTTTCGCTGCCAGTCCGGAAGTAGATGATGGACCCGCGGTCGGTGCCCAACACGATCATCTTGCACGGCTTCCGGCCCATGTTGACGGTCGGCAGACCGACCGTCGTCTCGTCGACGACGTGCACCGGGATGTAAATCATGTCGCATGACGAGAGGTACGTGACGTACAGTCGTCGGTAGCGGGCTGTTCCACGGCCCGCGGCCATGTCCAACACGTCGGCCTGCACCGGTGCCATGTACATGACGTCCTGCTGGCCGCACGGTCCCACCGGCACGTGCACCTTGAAAGAACTGTCGCAGGCCACGTTGTAAACGATCACGTTGCCCAAGCCGGCGTCCGACACGTACACGAACTGGCCCGCGGTCGTGCTGTGGTCGACCACGATCGATTGCAGGAAGCTGGCCGCCGTGGTCGCGCGCGACAAGTCGATCGCCCGCACTATCTGCAGCCGGATATAAGGCGCATTCATTATTCAAATGCAAGTGTATTCGAATTATTTTCAAGTACATTAATTAATATTCGGATAAAAAAGTATTCCAGTACCTATAATAACGTTGGAAATGTATTCGAATACCATTTCGTTCGTAAGTATATCACACATATTGTAAAAATCATTTGACTAAATTTGTATTCGAATAATAATCATTTCAAAAAAAAAATTGTCTAACTAATGCAGAGCAGTCGTCTGTACCACGCGAGATTCGAATAGGTAAACTACGCCTCCGCGAATACACAAAGACTTTGGACCATAATTTGGTGCTGTATGCAGGTTTCGCGGCTGTTCATTATTCAAACTCCGAAATAAAACATTTAAACATAATGTGCTCTTTATCGTTGTTATGCGGGTTAATGTGGGCGTAACAAATAGTTCAGGAAAACTTTTGTCTGAAAACTATGTACAGTAGGCACCAAGTTTTTTAGATTATAGGATATATTATATTTCTTAGAATATTATTTAATAATATCACAAAATATTACTGATGGATGGATGTAATGAAGTATAAATGTTGAAATGTACTGATAGGTAACGATAAATACTTGATAATTTATTCCATTTACCCAATTGATTGTAAACTAATAATTCCAGTCAGTAATTACTAACACAAACGACTAATTAAAGAAATCGAACTTACAGTAAAAAATACATACAAAATTACATATCATCTGAAATGAAATTTTGAAAGATAAAAAATTATTCAGGTTTCTGTTGATTTGGATGCAAAGCCCTGAGAGGAAATGCGTTTTTTTTTTTTTGATATTTGATGTTTATTTATTTGACGGGCATATTAAATGGTCCAATTATTATTACGGAATACAGCAAAGTATTGATAACATAAAGAAAATAATAAAAAAAAAAACACTCCTATTGTGCGATTAATAATAAATTACAGTAACAACACCAAGGTAAGTGGGAATATAAACCAAAAACAAAACAAATGTAGCTAATAAATTATAGATGATGAGGCTCATTGTGCATCATTCTGTGAATAGGATTATTGCATCACTTGTATAGCTGCATCCGTGATATTTGTAGTAAACAAAATATGTGTTATGTTTATGTGTAGAATAATTATATTTTATAACAAACAAAAGGCAGCGAAGAATGCATTTATATTAAATTACATAATTATTGATACGTAATTCAGACGTTGTAAACATTTTGACTTATTGTTTTGAAATTTCGTTTATTTTACTGTAAGCGGTTGTTTATAATAAAAGCTTGATTCAAAATTCGTATAATAAACCGATTTATTATAATATCAATATTTATTGCATTTCTCGCAACATCTCGGGCCATTTGGTTTCTTATTATTTTTTTCAAGTATGAAACATAAACGAATTTTTTAATATTGACCGCATTCTGATTTATAATATTAATATTTATTGAATTTCTGAACATCTCGGGCCACTTCTCATTATTTTTTTTTTTTTCAAAACCTTAGAAAAATGAACGGATTTTTAATATTGAGCTCATAGCTTCGGATAAGCCCCGACCACTGCAGTTCAAAACGGTTTTTAAATTACGCATTGATTTGATTTTTACTCATTCGATAGCTCCTGTTTATCACTTGTACATATTATAATATTATAATTGGTTTACACGTGTTATTGTAATAACGTTCATTTTAACCGAATTTCGTTAGAAGTAAGTGTGTTTGTGACATTTGCATCGATATGTATACCGTGCGTATGGTTAATTAGTTTAATAATTGTTGTATTCGATAATAGTCGGTGCTGCAGCCGTTTTACGAGAATGAAATGTTTTTGTTTGGCTATCGGTATAATTAAAATGGAAAATCAACTTAACCGTCAAGTCCGTCTGAAAAGAGTGGATAAAACGTTTGTATGTTTAAAAAATTAATTAATTATGAAAACGACTGAACCCTATGCAGTTATTACGTTTGATTTTTTTTTTATAATAATTACTCATTTTATGATAAGAAAATCGTTAATTTAAAACATTTTACGATGAACAGTAATAATTGGTATAAGTGTATAACAGTTCAATAGAACCATACAAAATTTAATAACGGTAGTTTAGTAGGTATAAATTATTATTGAGTTTTTGTTTAAACTAAATTATGTTTTATTGTCTAATATATAAAATTCTCGTGTCACAATGTTAGTTACCATACTCCTCCGAAACGGCTTAACCGATTTTTAATGAAATGTTATATGCATATTCAGTAGATCTGAGAATCTGCTACTATTTATTTTTCATACCCCTAAGTGATAAGGGTTGTAAATAAAAAAATAAAAATAATATTAATAATTAAATAATAATAGTGAATTATAATATATTGGTTGCTATTGGTTAATCGGGCATGTTTGTTGATTTGTATTATTATTTTTTGTCAATATATATACTATTATAGAAAGATGAGTCGTTAGTCACCGCTGTCGAAAGTAATCTCTGGAACTACTGAACCGATTTCGAAAATTCTTTCACCAATAGAAAGCCACGTTCTTTGTGAGTGTCAAAGGCTAATTTAAAAATGGAATTGATCACCCCCGGTAGGCGCTAAAACGGGAATGTTGAGATTTACGATAGAAATTGTTGTTTATTAATGGTTGCTATGGGTTATAGGAGTTGAGAATAATATTTATTTATTAATATATTTTTTTTTTAATTTGAATATTAATGGAGCGTCTCAATCTCATTCGTTTCAATCAGTCGAAGTTACGATCAGACGAGACATTCACTTGCGTAACGCCATCGCTACTGAAGGAGACGCGGCCAAAATTGGTCGTTTGACCATTCTCTCAGCCCATTCTTCTTTTTATATATATAAAAATGAATGTTTGTGTGTAGATTAGACCTCCGGGTAGAAGATAGGCTAATTTAAAAATGGTTAAATTTGTTCTTTTTTTTATTCATCAGATTTTAGTTCGGTTGGGTTAGGATTTTGTATTAATTGATTAGATTAATCCACCACAGGTGGAATACGACATACTTGGTATAACTTTGATACTTTAGAGTTAAATCATACACTTAAGTACAAACAACACGCTGCAAATTAGAATTTTTATTCTGGGCAACAGAAAAGTTAAGATAAATCTAGAACATCATACACCGAATATTAAATAACGCATTGAACAAAGTTTGAGTCACATACAGTTTGAACATTAAACGGGTAACGAAGTGCTCGGGATTAGCTAGTAATATTATAGTTTTAAGATATTTTATTTAGGCTGACACTATTCCAAAAAATGTCGTTTCAATTTCCATTGCCATTTTCCTGTATAGTGTTTATTCAGAAATATTTTCTCGATTATTAAGACGTGTTTACATAAATTCTTATGTTTTTAGACGTAACGAAGTTTAACGTGTTATTAAAAATTCCAAGAACAAGGAATTTTTCTATTGTTTATTTTAATACTTTTTTTTACTTGAACACGTTCACGTTTTTACATTTAGTTATTTATTTGTAGAAGCATAAGGAAGAAATTTTCTGAAAGCTTTTTTATTTTCTTCAACGTATTTTATAAAAAGATTTATCTAAAGTATTTTTTGTACTCATTTAATTTTTACTGCTTGACTTAATACTAGTAAAGAAATTTGATAAATACAATAGATTAAAATAAAAGTAATAAAATCATCAATTGAACTTAATTTTTGCTTAAATTGAAATTAATTTTTGGTAATAATTGTATAATAACTAATAAGTACTAACACACGTCGTGTACAACTCAATACACTCTGTGTATTGAGTTTTATCTAGACTCAATGGCCGTTAGAAAATAACCATACGGATGTGGATATTTTTATATATTTTAAAATGCAATTTAATTAATTAAAATTAAATTAATCGAGCAAATAAATCATCTATAAAATCCTTATGAGTTATGCACTTATGCGTATGTATATCTACGGCCCCCACAAGGGAGGGCTGTTGGACCTGGAGTACAGGCCACAGGGGCCCGTTGAAATGTATTTGTAATGGTAGTAATCGTAAGTTTGTAGCATTGAAATGAACACAATAATCTTTAATACGTTTTATTAATCACTTTGGATAATGTTATTATAACATTATTGAATATGAGCGTGCTATTCTATAGACTATCGATCAATATGATTTATGAATGAAATATGTATTTAAAATATATAATATTTAATTATATTATGCGTCTTGGTAAGCAGGTAGTGAAGTGTAGAGATTAGTGGAGCTCAACTTTATTTTCCACCCACTCACCCACTAACATTTCCACATTTATATTTTTCTAAAGTATTTAAGTATTTAATTTCTAAATAAGAATCAAGTATAGATTTATAAAGCATACAAATTATAGGACACATACTCAAATCTAATAAATTATAATCAAACATTTTGTGGTGACCACCTACCCAACCCACTATAGGCCGTACTGCCCTAGTGACTAGGGTATAGGCAATGGTATTTTATTGCAGTATTGCCGTACTCACATCGTTGGTGTCTGTGTCGAATGCGAACACCATCGGCGGCCGGACGACGACTGCCCCTCCGTCCTCGAGCAGGTTGACCATACCGATGTCCAGCGCCCACAGCACGCCTCCATCGTCCAAGTGCACGTCCACCACGTTGACCATGGTCCAGTTACCGTTACCGGAGCCGGGCCGCGCGGCGTTCCTGTGGGCGTCGGCGCACGGGTACGGCGACACGGGCGGCTCGATGGTGCTTACGCACGGGTCGTACTCAACGGCGCCGAGCGTGAACGGTACGCCTCGCCTGAGCCTGGGCATGGCCAGGTAGATGACGCCATCGTGTCTCATCGCCATCCGGGCGGGCGCCACGTTACGGGCCACGTACTCGCCCGACTCGGTGGCCGCCAACCGATCGCCGGGCCTCGTCCACTGTAGGTGCGCCCCGCTAACGATGTACGTCAAGCGGGACACCGGCAGCCCGATCCCGGTCACCGGCAACAGCAACGGCAGCGATATCGTCATCACCGCGGCTGCGGTCACCACCAGTAACATCTATATTATGATGAAAATGTAACGCGCGAGATAATAAAGTAGATCATGAGTCTCCAACCAGTCGATCGTTATCGAGTGGTCGATCGTTAGACAAGTCGATCTAATTAAAAATTAATTAGGTACCTAAACTAATATTTTTTTTAATATTTTATTTTTTTTTAATATCTCTCGATCAAGTGCATAGTCTAAAAGTTTAAGACTTAAACCTTTACGCTTTGTATGCAAAGTAAAGTATTTATTAGCGAAGAAAAACACATAAATTTCCAATGGAGAAATATGTAATGCGAAAGAAGAACATTATGTTATACACAATTTATTATTATTCTGCATATATAATAATATAAATAGTATGCTTAAAAAAATAGTGGTAGATCACCAGATACTTGCCCGATGTAGTAGATGGTGTAAATGACAATGATTTTCATCAATCTAATGTACCCATAGTCTTATGCGGTAGGTCGGGCGACCGGCTGTTGCAAAATTATATAATATTGTTGTAGTACAGGGATCTATTATAAACGGAAAACTGAAGAATACGCAACCTTTGCAAGCTTGCAAAGTATTGTCTCGTGATAGGTATAATCCAGTCGTGGAGTCGTCGACGATTATTGTTTGGTGGTCTGTCGTTAAAAATGATTGTGTGTAGGTCGTCTCCACTTTTCAGATTTTGATTTATGTGAAATCGATGACGTGTTCCCATGACATGAGAAATGCAATAGGTACAGCTGAATTATTATACGACGTGCTTGCACGGGCCGAGTTTGCGCATTCTTCAGTTCCTTTTTACTTGTAAATGAACTTGATAAATTGCGCTGGTAAGCGGAGGACTTAATAAACGGGCGCATCCAAGTTGGATAGGTGAGGTGTATCCTTGATAACATTTCTGATAAAGATAAACAACTAATTGGGTCCGTCCATAAAAACGGTAACATACTAATTGGGTGTCTGATTATAAAAACGATAACACACTAAACACACTAGTTAGGTCCGTAAATGAATAATATAATTATATAAAAATAAGAAGTGAGCAGAGCAAAATAAAAATGATTTTATTTACAGAAAATTTTTTTGAAGAAAAATTGATTAGTAAAATAAATAGATTTGACTTGGTAAACCGCTTTCATTTCTATTTTTACCAACTACTTGAATATTTTAATAGTTTTTGACATTTTATACTAGTATAGCAGCAGTATTATAGTGTACTAATATTCAATAAGTTAAAATAATTATTTACTATATTATATTATTAGAAACTTGAAAAAAAAAACATTTTTGATCATACCTGTGTTATAATTTATAGATCAATGACAGCCCTGAGTCTGTAAAAATGAGAAAGGAAATGTTTTTTTGCATGGACACAACTAGAGTAGTGTCAGCAAAATTGTGGGACCCAACTAGAGTACTACCTGAAAAACACCTAACTAGATTAAATGAGGGTTTTGCGGACCCAACTAGTAAACCGTTAACCGCGTCGTAATAAACGGATTGTATATATATATATGAGGTGTTATAAGACATGGTATATCATATATAACAGAAAACGGGTACCACACTGCTTGTTTACGACCAGTCGACTCGTATATAGTACCTACCTCTGTCCAAGTCAAGAAACGTAGTCAGCGGCTATACATCCATTTGTACCCCACACCCAGTAAATTATTTGCACCTATAACTACTGTCGTGTAGTATTGCCACGACCTTGTGCACAAGTTGGCCGCTGCCCGCTGACTACGTTTCTAAACTCGAACAGAGTATATACCTTATACCTACAATATACTGTAATACGTGTACGGTACAAGGTGTACCCATGTACGAGACGTGAGCGATGAGCTTTTAAACCATATACGTTTTATACTTACAGTCGTTTCGAATGACGTGGGAAAAACGATCATTTATCCTTCAAGAAATTTTACTTCTCCCCCGCTCGATACGACGTGTAATTGTCGGCATTGTTACCGTATTGATTTATTAAAGGCCGATGTATAAATAATAAAAATATAATAGGTAACAACAATCACACATTTTTGTTTACATTTAATATGTCTGTTGCTATACTTTTTCAATCTAATATAATATATTGGGTATGATAATAATCTTGATATCCGTTTATATATTATATTTTATTCTGTTCGTGTGCAAGTATTCAAACTCCTCCTTCGCCGGTTTTGATGACATTTTTTGTGTGTGCTTGAGTGGGTCCTCGAATGGTTTAGACTTTAGATTCACAATTAGACCCGCGGGTAGGCCCAACCCGGGGAGGTGCGCTCAAACCGGGATCTCGAGATTTACGATGAACATTTTTGTTTATAAATGGTTGCTATTGGTTAGGTATAGGAGACTATATAGGAGAAATAATTAGTAGAAATTTGTATTTATTTATTATTGGTTGCCGTTGGTTATTCGGGAAGACCACTATTATCGGGTACAACCATGTGTCAAATCGAATTTTTGCACATTGCCTACCAAGGTGGCTGAGTTGCACTCATTGCAGCGAGTTACACCCAAAAGGAGTTGAACAATCACAATTTTTTTAAGAGTTGTCGTTTTTTACGGTCAACGAATTGCGCGGGATCAGCTACTATTATATAATATTATAGGTTTATTTAGCTGATTGTGTGCGTGTCTTGCACCTACGTTGTATCTGTTCGGTAGACAGTGGATTGAGTAGTTTAACGAGGACCACCCCCCCCCCTCCCAATCGCCTTTACCCCTTTATAAATGTATTATTGGTATACGAAAACTGTGAAAAAACTTGGTTTAATTTATACTAACGTATACTGTAACGAACCTAACCTAATATATAACTATATACAGTGAGTTCCGCTTAATGTGATCACTTTGGTGCAGGTCATTTTGATTCTATTAACCGGTTGATTCTAAAAAGCATTTACAACAATGTTCAACAATTTCCTTACGATTTTTTAAAATTTTGTTTATCGTTGGTTGAGGAATTTTCAGAGCTAATGCGGCTTCTCTTTGAGAACATTTATCCAATTTATCGAAACGAACGAGTATATTTTTTTTTTCTTTTATAGTTAAATCATTTCGTTTGGTCGACATTTCAAAAAATACGTCTGATCATGAACAATAAACCGAATAAACTAAATGACACAAGTACACGACGCCGCGACATACAAAGATAATTGATTGACATAATGTACAACGATATACAGTAATACTGATAAATTCAAAAATAAAATGGTTTTTATAAATTAATCAGTTTGAGATACCATAAAAACGATAAGATTGTTCATAAAAGTGATTCAATTATCCGGTACTTAGTGATTTTAATAAAAGGTCAATTTAACATTAGTAGCATACAATTTGGTTTGGGATTTTCATTTTTGATTCTAATAAACGGTTGATTCTATAAACCAGTGATCACATTAAGCGGAACTCACTGTAATATATTTTTTGTCATCTCCCCGCTACAGAGCCGTGTACAGTTTCTTGTCTCGAGTCTTTTATGTAAAAAATTTGAAATTTATGATATTTCTCTGTATCTCACGGTATCTGACATTCTTACTTTTACGTGTGGCTGTGTATAGGTAAATGTAGTAGATATGTAATACGACAAAAAAATTTTAAACACAAAACAGTACCTACCAATTTATGTTGCTTAAAGATTTAATTAACTTAATATACTTTTAATTTTTTCGGATAGTATATAGTATAGTCTATAGTCAATTTTAATATTTTAAAAAGTTACTATCGTAATTCATATTAAATATATTGTTAATTTATGGTACTTATTTTTTTTTTTTTATCAACAAACCTTTGGAACGATAATATTGTATTCGACTAATACCAGTGTACATTTTAATGATTCTATTTAACATATGTTATACAATGATGTGTATAAATCTAGAGTGACGCATTTAATAACTATACTGCAGTGTTTGTCCTCGTTATCAATTTTATTAACTAAGCCGATTAGATTAAATAACGAGTATCTCTATTTACTATTTAGTGATATATTTCATGTAATACGAAAGAGTAATGTCGATTAAAGATTGAAAAATTATATTCTGTTTGGTGTTTATAGTTTTAAACAGTAGGTACCTACAGTTGAAACCGATTTATATATAACTTTACGCGATATCGGAATTGGCAGCCGGTGTTTGGTGTATTGGAAATTGTGTTTACTAAATCATCGATTTATAAACATTTATTAGTTATTACTTATCTGTATTCAACAGGGTAATTCATTTAACAATGAACACTCATTAAAATATTTTTCTTATCGTTATAATTTTTTGTATGTTTTTGATTTTTTTTTTCATTTCATATTCCTAATCGGAAAATTTGTCAAAAATGTCAATGTATAAAAAACAATTAATTAATAAATAAGATGTATATTTTAAGGTTTAAATGAGCATCCGAATCATCCGAGATTATGCTCTGAGCACTCTATAGTGCGCATGACCGTTTAATGTCCTGCAATATTTTGAAAATCGCGATGTTACATTTATCCGATCTATGAAAAATATTACCAACCAGCTAATACTGTGATATATTTTAGGTACCTACCTGAAACGGTTTAGTTATTTATTGTTATATAAAAGTTACGAGTCCAAAGCAAGCAACACGGATGGAACAATAAATTATACGTATAGCAACGTTCGTGAGCTAACCTTTTGCATTTTAAGTTAATAATATACCTAATATATAGTATTACAATAGCAACACTATTGTTGAATTGAAGGTAAGTACCTACCTATAAAAGGCTACCACGAACACTAATAGGGAATCTGCAGGTTTAATCACACGGCTCTCAATTCACTGCATCTATCATCGTGAGAGTATAAGTGAATAGAGTGATAAATCTCAACTCGAACAGTCACACACTTAAATCGTTCGTTTTTATGACGATTATTGACTGTTGTATATTTGTAAGGAAATAATAATATATATTATGATATCAGATATTATAATGTTTAAAGTCTTTGTCTGAACGATTCGATGTAACATCATGAAGTCAAATATTGCTGTATATCGCA